AAGGGGCGCCTGGGTGGCTCAGTGGGTTAAGCCGCTGCCTTCGGCTCAGGTCATGATCTCAGGGTCCTGGGATCGAGCCCCACAACAGGCTCTCTGCTCAGCGGGGAGCCTGCTTCTCCCTCTCTCTCTGCCTACCTGTGATTTCTGTCTGCCAAATACATAAATAAAATCTTAAAAAAAAAAGAAAGAAAGAAAGAAAGAAAGAAAGAAAGAAGAATCAGATGATGTGGTGACCAGCTTTTTTAAAAGGAGGGGGCTATAAAGTGATGTGTGTAAAAGGAAGTGTTCATAACGCTCGAGGCCTGCAATAGCAAAAAAAAAAAATAAATAATAATAATAATAACAAAACTAATAACATGATTAAAAAATGGCATTTCTCCAAAGAAGACATGCAGATGGCCAACAGGTAGATAAAAGAATGTTCAATGTCACTCATCATTAGGGAAATACCAATCAAAACCTCAATGGGATATTATTTCACACCTGTCAAGATCGCTATTACCCAAGGGGGAAAAAAAAAGACAACTGTAGGCAAGAATGTGGAGAAACTGGAACCCTTGCACACTATTGGTGGGAAAGCAAAATGGTGCAGCCATTCTGGAAAAACGGTATGGCAGTTCCTCAAAAAATTAATCATAGAACTACCATATGATCCAGCAATCCCACTTCTGGGTAATTATGCAAGAGAACTGAAATCAGAAGCTTGAAGAGATATTAGCATAGCACTACCATGTTCATTAACCTCTATTCACAAATAACCAAGACATGGAAGCAACCTAAATGTCCATGATAGACAAATAGATGAAGGAAAGGGGTATATGCTTACAGTGGAATATCATTTAGCCTTCCATAAAAGTGGAAATTCTGCAGTAGGCAACCACGTGAATGAACCTTGAGGACATTATGCTAAGTGAAATGACCAAATCACAGAAAGATAACTACTAACTACTGCGTGATTCCATTTATATGATATCTAAAATAGACAAATTTAGGGGTGTCTGGGCATCCAGTTCTCGGTTTGGCTGAGGTCATGATCTCAGGTGGTGGGATGGAGTCCCCATTGGGTCTCGGTCCCCGGAGAGCTCAACGGGGAGTCTGCTTGAGATTCTCTCTCTTCTTCTGCCCAACCACACCCTACAGTGTGTGCGAGCACACATGCGCATGCCCGCTCTCTCTCTCTCTAGATAAATACATCTTAAAAAAAATAAAAATAAAAATATGGGGCACCTGGGGAACTCAGTTGGTTAAATGTCTGCCTTTGGCTCAAGTTATGATCTCAGGGTCCTGGGATCACGCGCGGCTTCAGGCTCCCTGCTCAGCAAGGAGTCTTCTTCTGCCTCCCACTCTCCCTCTGTGCTCTCTCTCTGAAATAAATAAACAAAATCTTTTAAAAATAAATAAATAAAAATAAAACAGACAAATTTATAGAATCAAAGGGTGGACTAGTGGTTGCCAAAAAAATGGGGGAGGGAGGAATTAAGAGTTACTAATCAATGGGCCTAAGTTTCAGTTAAGCAAGATGAGTAAGTTCTAGAGATCTGCTGTAAGACACAGTACCTCTGTGGCACACTTACACATTTGTAATTTTTGAATGGCGTTACACATTTAAAATTTTGTTAAGAGAATAGGTCTTATGTTAAGCATTCCTGCCACAATAAAATAAAAATTTTTAAATGCTCGAGGTTCAAAGCCTGAGTGGAAGGAAGAAACAATGAGATCAGTGACAAAAATGGGGAACCTGAGAAAAGGAGCTGTTTTCATGAAGCTGTAGTAAGAGGGAAGCTATGAAAGGACATCCAAGTAGAGGTACCTTCATGGCAGTTGAACATAACCGATTGGAGATAAAAAATATAAATAAAATCAAGACTAAGAGATATGTGAAGCCAGGGCGCCTGGGTGGCTCTGTGGGTTAAGCCTCTGCCTTTGGCTGAGGTCATGATCTCGGGGTCCTGGGATCGAGCCCTGCATCAGGCTCTCTGATCAGCGGGGAGCCTGCTTCCTCCCTCTCTCTCTGCCTGTCTCTCTGCCTACTTGTGATCTCTCTCTCTCTCTCTCTCTGTCAAATAAATAAATAAATAAATAAAATCTTTAAAAAAGAGAGATCGAGAGATGAAGCCAAGGACAATTCATTAAAGAATTTATCTAGGGACGCCTGGGTGGCTCAGTTGGTTAAGCAGCTGCCTTCGGCTCAGGTCATGATCCCAGCGTCCTGGGATCGAGTCCCACATTGGGCTCCTTGCTCATCAGGGAGCCTGCTTCTCCCTCTGCCTCTGCCTGCCATTCTGTCTGCCTGTGCTTGCTCTCTCTCCCTCTCTCTCTCTGACAAATAATTAAATAAAATATT